TCATGTAATGTGTCACGTAGGAGAAACCTCGGTGAAACTTTATTCGTATGACGTAATAATTTGCCATATATGAAGCAGTTACCAGAGGATTTTAGCGTTTTCTCATAGTGTCTGTGCTTCTCACTGGACACAAAAATGATCCCGATGTCCACTATCAAGGCAACAATGTAGAGAATCCAGACTAATAACAGCCAACGAAGTGTGGCTTTTCCGTAAACATAACAGCAAAGACCACGCACCAAAGTGCTGGGAGGAAAACTGTTAATAAACTATACCATTTAGAATTTTAGAAATTGCGCAATGCCTCATGGCCATCTCTCCTTTCGTCAAGGGCAATATCTATCATGTTGACAACATCGAATAGATCTATGGTCATGTGATATGCCAACCTGGATACTAACGCTTTGTATTCTAGAGACCGATCAGAATCCTCTGCAGTATTTAGCAAAAGTAGCAAGAGAGGTGGTGTTAGACTTAAAAACCACTTTCAGGGTATTTGGACAGAGGAATTTTTCTTTGTCAAGTTTGTCCTCAACCCTCACAAAAATGATGATAATGTTAGGTATCAAAGCAAAAATAACGTATAAATACTAGACATAAAACAACCATCGAAGTTTTGCGGCTTTAAAACGTACGAGATGGCATCCACGTGCACACTACTGGAACGAACATTGCCTAGTCCCCGTACGGCGTCTTTTCAGGCCCTCTCGGTCAATGCATTTCGGTGACGTATCCGAGACGAACGGCCGGCAGACGCCTAGACGATCTCGGAGTGCGCATGCGTCAGCATTTTTGCATTTTTGAAAAGTTCCCACGTTCAACTGAAATAATCTATAAATAACTTTGCGCGTGAATTATCCTGGTGTATGACATTTGCAGACTGCAGACTGAAGATCACAGATTGCAGATTGTAAATTAAATGACACCAAAAATCTTCTTAATAAAGGTGACGTCATCAAAAATATAACATCGTGTGAAAGTGAGAAAGTAGCCTGGGAACAAGGTTGATATTTTTGCGCAAGGTTACATTGGCCTCATTCCCAAGATGCTGTTGGCTATTCTCCACCGACTCTTTCTCAACTCACCCGGCATATCACTAATTGCGTCGATTCTTTATTCTTATTTGATTATTGTGAATTGATAATGACAAGTAGCAATGCCCACTAATGCCTGTCTAAATAGTAGTCTTCTGTAAAAAGGTTTTAGACTGCGAGCACTTCGTGCTCACTACAGTTACGTCGACAAAAACAACTAGGATGGATCAAGGACATTTAACACCTTTTAAATGACGTATTTCATCTTAGCAGTATTAAGGAATATGCCAAATAATCTAAAACGAACAGATCTTACCTGGACTCGACGAATTACCAGAAGTGCATTTTGAAGTTCTAAATAGGCAAATCATTGCTCATACTCAAGTCCTTAAGTACACAGGTGGGGCCTCCATAGAATAAGGATTCCGGCGCTGTTTCACAGACAGATTTATATAACCATAGTTTGATTTCGTCTGTGGTGTAGGCTAAATTGCTAGACTGTTTCTATGGATTCATGAGCAAGTTCGTGACATCGGCAGACATTATTCTGCTCTAATTCAATACCAAAAGAACAGCCAACAGCTCCTTGAGGAATGAGGTCGGTGTAATTTGCGTGAAAAATATAAACTTCGCTTCTAGGCCTTACTTCTCAGAACAAGGTAATGTTGATGATGACGCCACCTTTATTACGATATTCTTGGTTTCATTCAATTAACAGTCTTGCTGCCTCATGCAGTCTGCGGTCTGCAGTCTGCGGTCTGCGGTCTGCGGTCTGCAGTCTGCAAACGTCATACACCGCTAGTACCCTGCTAGCAGAGTCGCTTCGATCTTTCCTGGATAAGTCGGGGAAGAGGTCCTTCCTCTTCTCGACTTATCGAGGAAGATCGAAGGAGACTCTGTTCG